CCTTACAAAAAAAGACAAAAAATCACAAAAAAATGTAATTTCCCAAATCCGTCAAAAAGTGATAGGGATGTTTAGCGTTGGTAATTAGCTGCTCAAAACTGTTATTCTTTTATCTTTTTAATAATTTTTATGGAAGTTATGAAGAAAATTCCCATAGAAAATATGGAATATTTGCCAAAAGTCGATTTTCCGGTTTTCCGACATAAAATACTCAGTTTTTTGGCCACAACTTTAAAAATAATTGTCTGAATATGAAATGTCATACCTCGTTGAGTTCGTATTTAAATTTCCAATCGAACTGTATCCAAAAATAGGAATTGAATTTTTTGGCCATTTTTTCCAAATTTTGATGATGTTACCCCTTACAAAAAAAGACAAAAAATCACAAAAAAATGTAATTTCCCAAATCCGTCAAAAAGTGATAGGGATGTTTAGCGTTGGTAATTAGCTGCTCAAAACTGTTATTCTTTTATCTTTTTAATAATTTTTATGGAAGTTATGAAGAAAATTCCCATCGAAAATATGGAATATTTGCCAAAAGTCGATTTTCCGGTTTTCCGACATAAAATACTCAGTTTTTTGGCCACAACTTTAAAAATAATTGTCTGAATATGAAATGTCATACCTCGTTGAGTTCGTATTTAAATTTCCAATCGAACTGTATCCAAAAATAGGAATTGAATTTTTTGGCCATTTTTTCCAAATTTTGATGATGTTACCCCTTACAAAAAAAGACAAAAAATCACAAAAAAATGTAATTTCCCAAATCCGTCAAAAAGTGATAGGGATGTTTAGCGCTGGTAATTAGCTGCTCAAAACTGTTATTCTTTTATCTTTTTAATAATTTTTATGGAAGTTATGAAGAAAATTCCCATCGAAAATATGGAATATTTGCCAAAAGTCGATTTTCCGGTTTTCCGACATAAAATACTCAGTTTTTTGGCAACAACTTTAGAAATAATTGTCTGAATATGAAATGTTATACCTCGTTGAGCTCGTATTTAAATTTCCAATCGAACTGTATCCAAAAATAGGAATTGAATTTTTTGGCCATTTTTTCCAAATTTTGATGATGTTACCCCTTACAAAAAAAGACAAAAAATCACAAAAAAATGTAATTTCCCAAATTCCCAAATTGAATTTTTTGACCATTTTTTGCAAATTTTGTTGATGTTACCCCTTACAAAAAAAGGCAAAAATCACAACAAAATTTATTTTGTCAAATCCGTCAAGAAGTGATATGCCTTAAGTATGCCTCACTAAATACAAATAAAAAATAACAAAAAAACATATACAAAGCTCAAAGTGAAGAATGAAGTAGAAGCTCTGGTCTGAGAATTGGCCTTTTCTGCTTATAATTGTAACTAAAAGAGCGAATACCCATCTTCGCTGTTACTTACTCCTCCACTTCGTGTCATTGCAATTTGACTCTTCATTATGAATTTCCCAACCCAGCGGCGAATAAATAAAACTTAATTATGCCTAATTGAGTTAAATGATTAACGGGGCATTTCACTCCCCATTTCCATGTGACCTGTGATCCATTCAATTTCCACATGGCCAGTCGATTGGTCAGTCGGACATGGCTTAACACTCAAATTGATTTGAAATGTGCTTAAAAAATTATGCTACACACGGACGGGGCAACAACAAAACGAAAACAAAATCAGGTAGGTCGGTGTGTGGGTGAATTGAAAAATGGGAAATGGAAAATGGGAAATAGGAAATAGCAGCACCGAAAAAAATAGCTTCGCAAATAGTATAGAATTTCAAGCGCGCCCGAGAGTATCATGTACTTGGCTCTAACATCAAAACCGACTTTAGTGGCCAGGCATCAGATCAGTTTCAACAATATATAACAATAGTACCCATAAGATCCAACCATTTGTTTCTGTGTGGTCTGGCGCAAGCGAAATCAAATGCATCCGAAAAAAAACAAATCACAACCGGCCAACCAGGACCACCTCTTCGCCCCCATCCACATTTCGACCCCGGGTGGCCCACCCACATTATTCGAGCCACAGCCCCACGGGCTTTGGTGTTGACAAGCTCGTTGGCCAAATCACACAAAGTATGCAACAAAAACGAACGAACGCCCCATCGACGGCAAAAAAGTCGTGAAAAGAACGGGCAATTTGGGGTCTGCACTCTGATAACCGTCTTTGTATGCCCTTCTTTTTAGGGAAAGTAAGTGCAAAAGCTTGAATTCCCAAGCTTCATTACCAGCGCGTTGCTCTTGGGTTGTGGCAATGCGCGTAAGAACAATGTGATTGAAGACTGTTTGGCTAAGCTGGCGTAAAACAAAAACATTGGATTGACAACACCTACTCGTAAATCGCAAATGCATTTATCCAAAGCTAACCGGAGAGAAAGGGCATTGTTTTCATCCGGACAAGCAGCTGTCAAGCTTATTTGCGCACGTAAAATCCATCCGGTTGGACCACGGACCGCAACTGCAGCCACGTACCGCCCGCCACCTCCCCCCACCCACCAAAATCGCCAGCGGGAGTCCAGGAAATCTGGGGGCTTGGGGGCGTGGGGGTTGCTGGCGGAACACAAGCGCAACAAGTTCCAGCAGCAGTCATTCCAATCCAATTCCCCTTATTGTTCCTGCTGCTTGTTCTCCGGCATTTGCAAGTTTTGAAAAACCCACCCCCCACCTCCCACCCCCCGGCTCGTGTTGCCAATCAACACCTTTCGCCCCCGGCCCGCCGCCCATGGTCATGCCATTTTGACAGCGATATAAGCCAGGACCTCGCGTTATTGGCATTCGCCGTCGATGTGGACGACGGCTGCAGATGCAGATGGAGACGACTGCGTACGCGGATGCGGATGCGGGTGCGGATGCTAATGCAGATGGTGGCGGTGACTTGGGGATGCGGACTGTTAAAGCGGCCACGAACATTTCGTCTAGTCGAATTCGAACTTCTGCGGAACGGAGCGCATCAGGCGAATGCAACAGTTCGCTCTCAGCCAAAAGATTGCTATAACCTGACCGATTTGTAGGGCAGCAGATTTCAGCATTTCGATGACTCCATGAAAGGTAACCAACACTGCACTCCCAGAGCCCCAAAACTACAAGTATTCAATTTGTTTCCAATTTGCTTCAATGAGAGCTTATTTCATCGAGCATCCACTTTGCGGAGCTAATGCGCCGTTGAGTGGGCGACAGACGCAAATTTGAAGGGGTTATTCTGGAGGCCCAGAAGGTGACCTGGGCCCTTAAGTGGTGGGCGTGTTGGGCGTGGTGGCAAGGGCGGGATGGCCGAAAACTGTGGTGTCGATGGCGTACTGCGGAAATGCGTACCGGATGTCGAGAATTGTTAGCCTGGCACTTAATCGATTAACGAAATTGCAGCACGACTTGCTCCAGGGGCTTGGCAGCCATTAAACGGTTAGTAGTTACTAACTCACCACTTAAGTTGTCAAAGCTGCGCCACACGAGGAGTTTTCGATGGTCGCCCAGTTAGTTGGGGCGTTGTTCGCCTCTATTTGTAAAATTATTATCCCAATTCTATCAAAACTCATTTGGACAACCTGGTGGCGGCCAAATTTATTGACTGAAATGGAAGGGCTACTATTCCATCAGTGTGCGTTCAATAGTTTAAACATAAATCCCCTTACGCACAGGCAGGCAAAGCCGATTTAAAATATGTATGTATCTACTGTTTTAAGTTTCTGATATCAGTTGAAGAATCTTTTATTAAATCCTTTATGAGTTTCCTACGAAACTTGTTATTCCTTCCGATTAACTCTCGCTCAGCCTTTTCCAGGATATGCCGGAAAGGAGGAGGATGAGAAGGAGCTGTTTGTGGCTCGACCAGGCGCCTGCTGCATTGCGACAAGTTGGAGCTTCTATCAACTGGTGTCCAATTTGTTATGGACAGGTAAAAATGGCAAAGCGCGGCGATGTAAATCAGGAGTGCCGGTGGCCTCCTGCCGGGGATTCCCAAAGGACTCGTTCTGGTCAGGGGCAGCCTGTTTGGCCAGCAGCAAATAGCAAATAGCAAAGGCAGCGGCAGCGGCATTGCTGCAGACTGTGGCATTGTCTTGCGGCATGCAACGCGGCATGCACAGTGGTGCGTTGTAAGCGCAATAGTATTAACGGCTTTGGATGCAGAAACAATTGCAGTGGGAAAAGCGTAGAACTTTTAGTTGCAGTACTGAGCCGCAAATGCCTGAGAATTCGGAGAGTACACTAAACAAACATCCCATTTCCCAAATACTGCCATTCTCGAGCGACTTGGTTCCAGAGTTCGCCCTCCGCCGGCGATTGTCATTGCCACCGTTTGTCAATTATGTTTCGCATGCAGTTGAGAACGTTGCATTTCCGACGCCAATGTCGAATGGCGACGTGGCCGAGAACAAAAGGCGGTCAAAACAAAGGGCACGAGGAGGTGGGGGAGGGGGGATCCACCCCTTTCGAGGGGCAGCCTTTAGCCGGGCCGGGCCGGGCCGGGTCTGGTCTTCGGTCTGAGCCCAGGCATCCGGAAGTTTGCGCTGACATTCATTACCATAATTCACAGCAGCTTAAAACATTTATGTGGCTGCCGCGCCGAGCTCTCACAGACAGCCCCAATCCCCTGAACCGCCCAAACCCTCCCCTTCCCCCCTTTCCTGGGGCGGGGGCGCCTATGCTGCAGTCCGTTGTTTGCGTTTGGATTATATGCGGCGCCTGCAATAAGGGACAACAAGAGAAGCTTGCAAATTTGTTGCACTTATTTCAACTGCTGGGAAATTGCCGTCACCCCTCGCTGCACTTACAACCCACTTTTGGGGCCACTATCCTAATGTGGCCCACGTGCCAAGATACTCGCAGTATACTTGTATGATATATACGGCCGATTGAACAATTTACATCACATTCCACAGATGCAAATAGGACTCGTTTATATGTTGGCCCCTTTGGCACATCGATTCTTCATTGAAATAGCTGCCACTTTTAGTGTGTGTTCACTTGTTTACCTGTTCACTTAGTTACGACTTCAAAATATTTCTTTCTTTTGAGCAAACAAAACCAGGTAAGATTGCTGGCTGCGAATCGCGTGCGAATAATGTAGTTTCACACCACACATAGAATGGCCAACATATCAACGACTCAGGAGGCTAACATCACGGAGATTGCCGCACAATTGGTCGAGCAAGATTCCAAAGGCTATGCCAACGATGACGAGGCCTTCGATATACCGCGCTGTTCCCGAGACATCTTCCTGAGCTGCCCGGAACTGTCCGGCATGCGGGACATATTTGACTGCAAGCCCTTGGTCCCTCAGGCCGGATCGACACACACCTACCGCACTAGCCAGCTGTTGACCATCGGACGCCGGGTGGCCGATCGCATGGTGGATCCGAGCGGCCAGCGCGAGATGTTGTGCAGCCGCTATCTATTGGACGAACGCCTCCGATCCGCCGGAATCTATCACAACCGCCTGGGCAATCCCTACGCACGCTTTTCCGAAGCAGAGGAGGGGGCACGTGGGGACACGGATGCCGGCCAGCCCAACACATCCACGGGATCCAAGGCTTGAGGGAGCCAATACTACTCTTAGCAATGGAGCCGAAAGTGTGACCCTGCCCGTAAACAAATTAAGACCGTATTAATAGTTCTCTGGATCTTGAAGTTCCGAGAAGCACTACCTTAACTAAATTCCATTTAAATTCATGTTCTATGAACGTAGTTTTGGTTAGAGCGAAACTCACTGCCCTCAAGCAATAAATCGTTTTTGGTGTGAATACCTTGAGTATATATGGACTATGTTAAGTGACCAGGTCATTAAACGAGCAACTAATTCGCGCCCGAAATGCTTTACAAAGGAAGGTGTCTCGCGTACGTGACTGGATACTGTTAATTATGGTTATGGAAATGCGGATCCGGATCCGTGTGGATCTTGGCTAAATGGAAACCAAGCCAATGACAGATGCTGTCGCTCTGGCTGTCGCTCTGGCTGTCCCAACTGTCTCTCCATTTTCATTCCGGAACCCCCCGAGTATCTCGTGTCCGTGTTTTTATGGCCACGGATTTATGAGCAGCTAACTCTCTAAGCTAATTTGTTGAAATTTAAATACACTTGCAGCTGCCGGAGGCTGTGACAGCCAGCTAGTGACACTCTTCACAGTGAAATGTGAATGTGGAGGTGGATGGGGATGGGGATGGGGATGTGGACGTGGGTGGTGGGTGGTGGGTGGTGGACCCGCCGGCTCCACTTTGCCACATTGCCACACTGCCACTTTAGCCTGTCGCTTTTGCTGGCGTTACTTCGCACGCACCACACAATTCCATATGCAAATGCCCGGAATGGGGGAACCACCTGCCCAGCTTATCGCCGGTCCGAGTCGACCAGCTGCACTGGAAAAATCATCGTGATGCTGGAAAAGTACACAAATGCATACAAATGTATATGGGACAATACATATCAACAGGGTTACTACTGCGGAAGATAAGACGGAGTCCCCCATGCAGTGTCCTTTGAAAAGTGGGTTATCACCAGCTCTGCACTCTAAGGAACTGATTTGGAAACGGACAGAGGTTTGCCGCTGAACAGCTGGAAAACCCTGTAATGCATATACCCACCTGATAGGCTGCATTTTATTTCAGCCTTGCATATGTATAGCAATCTTCCCGATCAATTTAGAAGCACGCTCCCATGTCCATGGGCATAATGAAAATGTTTGCGAAGCGCACAATAACACCAGTCGAGGGGTTGATGTGTCCATGGTGGCGGCCTACATGGGGCATGGAGCATGTGGCAAGTGAGCCCAGAGCAGTTAAAGGGCAAACAATGCTTACACGCTCTCATTTCAAGAGTTGTACGCGTGGCCCGGCCTCTGCAACTACACACAGAAAAAAGAGTTGTACCAAAAGTCGAGCTGAAGGATGAAGCCTCGCGCAAGGCGCTCAAAACTCGCAGTTATGGAATTGACCCGCTCAATTTGGGCAATGGGCTTTTCCGTAAGCTGGCTGCTGTTTTCACTGCGTATCATATCCAGTGACCAGCCGCATTCGGCCCGCCACATCTTTTGCAACCAAAGTCATAGTGGCCTCTTCTGGGCCCTTCCATCCCATTTTCCCCATTCTCACAGGCTTCACTGTACTGGCTGCTCAACTGGCTGCCGTGGCGTGCCTGCTCGCTGACAGTAAATGCTGAAAATTGAGTGCAACTTGTCGTAACTTTATTTTCAAATATATGCGGAAAGGACTAACCAGACAGCGCACAACAACACACTCACATCCAAGCACTCGTACTCCGCATAGCCGCACTCAATGAGAAATGTGTGGCGGGTACAGCGCATACAACATGTAGGAGCCAGGCGACCAAAGCCAGGGAGTCCAACTATTGGCGGATTCCAATAGCTTGACCTTTGGTTCTGCACCGCATTCTTGGGCCGCAAGACCAGACACAAATCTGGCTGCAACAGCACCTGTAACTCATTCGAATGGGTTACGCACTAGATGATGGCTAGTCTACTTTTGAAACCTTTGTCGCCTGTCGCACATTCATTTGTGTGGGCTAAGTGTTTTGCAACAAAGTTTTTGCGTGCTTTTGTCTGCCGACTACCGACTGCCACCTCCTGGTCCTGGTACCTCGCCCCGCCATCCTGAACCCTTCCGGGATCCTCTTCCATTGCAATTCCTGGGGCTCGGCCCATCACTCCGCCTCCAGAGCAGGAATATTGCCACTTCCATAGCCACACAGTCAGAAAAGTGTATGTACTGCGACATGGTGATCAACTTCATGATTTTACGCACACGCCGCTTTCGACCAGCAATACCTGCCAAATCAGCATTTACTCGACCTCCAACTTGGCAGCTCATCAAAATCAAAATAAAGTGCTAATTTCCGATGAAGTGGAAAGAGTTTCTTCAGCCGTGCAGCTCGGCCAGCGACTCTGCAGCTCTCGAGCTCGGTCTCGTCTGCATAAGCTGTGCGGTTGTCTCCTTTCAGGCTCAGGACCTCAGCATCCTCCGCCTCGTTTTCTGCGGTGGACTTAACGAATGGGCCAGTCCTGGCCAGCTCCTCTTGCTCTTTCCGGAGCCAAGCTGGGCAGCTGGGCAGCTGGCAGGGAAACAGTTTAACCCTGCAGGGATGCCTGGTTAAATATAGAATCATCTTTCATAAAAGTAAATTGATTCCCATTTGTAAGGAACTTGAAACGTACTAAGACATCTGGTTGTTTTAAATGCGCCGCTTTTCCTTGCCAGCATTTGGAAATGGGTTAAACTGAAGGAGGCTTGGGGGCTTAGACACTCAACCAAAAGCGACGATCAAGTTTGACTTCTGTGCATTGCCTGGGCCACACTCTACCGATGCCACGCCCCCCAAGTCTGAATAGTTATCCGCCCCCGTCACGCCCCGGACACGCCCACGCCCTCGATGAATCAATTGGCAATCAATGGTTGCGGCAGTCCGTCCATAAACTGCAAGAACTTCCTCTTCTTCTGTGTCGACGGGCAGTTTTCCATTTAAGAGGCCACCAGTTTTTCCTGAGACTCGAAGGATATGGGCGATTTGTGTTCATTTCTTAGCAATTTAAGTTCAAACAAAATAGTTTCTAGTGCAATTATGGCGTTATTCCCTGCGGGCGAGTGTCAAATGGAGCAATAAATGGTTGTTCCGACGCTTTCTGGGCACATTTCGTTACCTTTGAGAATACTTCGCAAGAATGTTGAAAGTGTCGGAAGCAGTGCTGCCAAACCATCCCATCCCGAAGGTAGGAACGAAAAAATGGGCATCCAGTTAAGGTAGAAAGCACTTCTTTGAGTTTGCATTTCTTTGCCCGTCCAACCAATTTGAATATTATGCCAACAAAGAAAAAACCCGAAAACGTCAGGGGGAACAAGGAGGCAACGACGAGCATATAACGAATAACTATAACGAAGTCTGATGCCCTTTCAAAGGTATTTAGAGAAAAAAAAAGTATTGCATTTTCAAAGCCATGCATATTTAACATTGGACATAATATATTTTCTATTAAATCTATTATCTGAGACGGTGGGCACTTCGAGCACCTTCGAGCACCTTTGATATTAAATAAAAATGCATATTTGACTAGAATATTCAACAATAACCCCATTCACAGTGGGTTTTCAAAAGCGTTTCGCAAGGAATGTGGCCCGCTCGAGGAATTTAAGGCAACATTTAATCGAAATGTCTCAGAGATTTTGATGGCCCAGAATACCCTTTCACACACACACTGGCCTAGTTGCCCACACACATGCACGCATTGTGTGTACGGACAGCCGACAGCTCAATTCTCAGCTTGAAAATGCAGAAAGGACCAAATGGGGCAAAACACATCTCTTTTGAAACCCAATGCCCCTTTGGCCTTTGATAGTTCAAACCTGAGTGGGAAAAAATTGAGCCAAAATTGTAATAGAAATTTTTCTGCTGCACACATTCGCAAATATGGACAAGCGATGGAAGTTTCCCCTTTGGAAAGCCCTGCGGCCCAAATGGAGTTTCCCAACTATTGTCCATTGTGGATGGGTGCCAGAATATCTTGAATCGCCGTTAACGTTGCAACATCACAAATTTCAGCAAACTGAAAGCGATAAATCCCTATGCCTTCCATCTAAATGCGGCATGTTGTCCTTCGCGACGAGCAAAGCTGTTGAATGTTGGTGTTGGTGTTGGTGTTGAACTCGGACCAAGCGTTTTGAAAGCGACTGAGCTAATGCAACACTGCACAGCATTTGACGACCACGTCGGTCTGTCCTGCGGAACTAATTAGTAACTAATTTAACGCAAATAAAACAGCGGCGATCGGGCCAACTGTTGCACCAAGTGTTGCATGGACGCACTGCGGCACGTTTGTGCTAATGGCAATACAATTAATTTCCATTAATAATTGAGTCAACGCTGCGAATTAAAATGTATTCCGATCTGAGGCGGACGGCCATAGGTTGTTTTGAATTTGCTGTTTGCGATGTGCAAATATAGAACTCAATTATTAGCCCAATGAGCACAGATAACTCAGGCTTAATTGTTTAGCCAATGATAGCCAAAATATACAGAGCAGTATTTTTTGAACTATTACCATTTTGACATCGGAATGGGAGTGTGTGCGTGTGGCGACGCCTGCAAGTCTCAACATATCCTGGTTGCCTTGGCTTTTTTGCTGAAAATTTCTATCATGGTTGGAGTTTACATTTGGTTTGCTTGTGCATTCTGTGGCGGCATTTTACTCAAATTAATTTCAATTTGCCGTAAATTATTCGGCGCATTCTCACAGTCATGTAGTTTGTACAGCAATTAACTGCAAAACTTTAACCGCAAACTAAGCGTAAGGTAAACAAGTAATCGAATTCGCATTTTCCATGTCTGTGATCAGGAATGTTTTCTGTTGCGAGTTAGCAGTTGCTGCATGGCTCGGTTTCATCCATCCATACAGACTTTAAAACGATAACGCACTGTAGCACACTGAATTTCCCAATTTCATGGCTCTGGTGGCCTCCGCAGTTAGTAATTGGATTGGATTGTTTCCTCGAAGCACATTCTCTGCTGACTAGGATGTCCGAGTAAACCATATATTCGGTAGTAATAGACGGCATATCAAATAAATAACTGAATACTTTAAAAAATATAAAACAGCACGTACATCGTTTGAATGGAATGTTCGACTAGTTC